ATCCAGTAAGACTTGATTTATTCTATGACGTTGCTTTAACCAGTCTGAATTCTAACATTTGTTTCTGAAGAATGGTACAATACGGAAACAGTCTGTACAGCTTGCAAAACTAGGCAAATCAGAAATCTTTGATTGCCAATTACTAACTGTATGAACTAAAAATGCTCTATTTAACTTTTCTGAATCCTGATTTCTTTATCTGTAGTGAATACTGCCTAGATTGGAGAGATTTTCTAAGAATTAAAGGTAAAAGAAAACAAGTAAAGTTTCTGACAAAATAATCAATAAAAAGAAGCAATTATCAGTCTACTATCCTTCATCATTCTGTATGCAAGTTTGGAACTTTGCACTGTTCATCTGTTATAAAAAGTTTTAAAATACATAAAATTATTGTAATAATTAAGTGAAGATTTCTAAACTGGCAAAAACTATACAGCACCAGAAATGTAGCTCTTCAGATACTCCTAATCCTGGTTGGTTATGTGCCGTGGAGTCAGTTCCAACTCATAGCGATGCTGTACAGGGTTTTTGAAGCTGTTAATCTTTACAGGAGCAGAAAGCCTCATCTTTCTCCCGCGGAACAGCTGGTAGTTTAGAACTCCTGACCTTGTGGTTTGCAGCCCGATTCGTAGCCACTACACTACCAGCACTCCTACTCCAAATCCTACCGCTCAAAAATCACCTGCCTTCTAAACTCAAATGTGCATGATGAACAAATGAGCATAAACTAAAGCAACTGGAAGAGAAAAGTAAGCAAAACTAAGAACTCAAAGTAAGAATTACTGACAACATCCACTTTATAGTTACGGACCTTAGAATATACTTGCTAACTCAAATGAAACTCTGGTTGGTGTAATCCAGGCAAAGGAATTAAAAAACACAAATTTAATGACGCTAAAAACTTAAGCTGTATGAAACTTTCTATCCTTGCCAAATTTGCATCCTGAGAAGCACTGCTTAAGCAGTTTTTCTCTTTTTCACTTAGCTTCCCTTCCTATTCCCCAAAATAGTTCCCACAACAAAGGCAGTATGAACTTTGAGGCAAAGCAAAGGAAATTGGTCAGATGAATAAGTGTGCTCAAGTCAAGGAACTGCAGTCCTTTAACATAAAACACAAGAAAATTTCAAACTAATCTTATCAAGGCAGAAAAGGCAAAGACTTTTTCAATGTCTATATAAACCATCTCAACAGAACTTAACAACATAAAAAAAAAAAAAAAAAGACTTCTATTTTGAATATCATTCTCCCATAACTTCAAAAACTGTCTTTAACATAATGCAAACTATTGAGAAGTTTTGCTGTTAATAATACAATAGTTAAAAGTCAAAGAGCTAGTAATCTGCTCCTGAGACTCATCTGTGGAGGGAGTCCTGGTGTGGGGCATGTGGGATAATGCACTGGACTGAAGGGTCAGTTTGAACCGCAAGGTCAGCAGTTCAATTTCACCAACAGCTCGGCGAAAACCCTATACAGGGTTGCTATGAGTGGGAACCAACTTGACAGCACTTAACAAAACAAGACTCAGCTGCACTACAGCTCAAAGAACTAAATTAAACAGGGCTATGCTTCAAGACTGTGGGAAAACAACCAATTTTTAATTTCCCAGGATAAAAATCACCTAGGCAATAACTTAACTCACCCTGATATAAGAAATTCCCAAAACACAAGCAGCTGCACACTTTTCCTGTGAGAAGAAATGCTTAGTGTGTTGTCTATAACCCAAACCAGGGTCACAAAAAGGATATAGACAGATCTCAGCAGATATCCTAATGGCTATATCTAGTATATTTGTTGTTCCCTAATTCATCCAAAGTCATGGCCCCACCTACCATCAAATTCTACAAAGGTAATCAGTATTCACCATCTTCACCCTATCTGAGCTAATGACCTGAATCACGCAGGCCAAAATTAAAAGGGCTACTAAAATATTAAAGGACTTCAGGTGTGGCAGTGTTAAGATCAACACTGTACTGCAAACCACAAGATCAGCAGTTCAAACCCACCAGCTGCTAATCAGAAACCCTGTACAGGGTGGCTATGAGTTGAAATCAACTTGACAGCACTTAACAACAAAGTATTAAGATTATTACTGCTGTGAATTTCCTCTCCTCCTGTTCCCCCCTCCTCCCCAATAAGATGAGAAAGAGGACACTGGTAGTTTGGAGGCAGAATTCTCCCGTTCCATGTGGGTGGGAGACCTAGGTTCAGTTCTGATGGTTATACCTCATGTGCAGCTACCACTCCTGTCAGTGGTGGATTGCATATTGCCAAGATGCCGAACAGATTTCTGCAGCTTCTAGACTAAGACCCAAACGGCATTTCATTCAAATGTGCATGGGGCCATCATGAGTTTGAGGCTGACATCATCACCAGTGGCTGACAAGATCAGAATACTTCACTGGAGTCAAATTTTAGAAAACAAAACCTCTGCCATCTAGTTGATTTCAACTCATGGTTATAAATTCCATGGGGTTTTCCTGACTTTACAGAAGATCACCAGGTCTTTCTTAGGTAGCTCTGCTGAACGGGTTTGATGGATGGTTCTCAACTGCTAATCTTTCAGTTAATAGTTGAGTGGAAACTATTAGTGTCACCCAGAGATGTGGAATCAAGTTTTTGTTGTTATCAAAGTGCCATCGAGTCAATTCTGACTCCTAGCGACCCTGTGTAGGGTTTCCAAGGAGAAGCTGTTGAGTCAAGTTTGTTGTTGTTAAGTGCCATCGAGTCAGTTCCAAACCATAGCGACCCTGTATAGTTTTGGACCACCAAAACAAAATAATTTTAAAAACCTTGGGTCCATGACAGTGACTCTTGACAGCATGGTGCTAAAATTTAAAAAAATGAAATATAAGAAGTAGCATGACTTAATTAGGTGAATTACCAATTAAGTTTAAAAGTGCTTCAAAGATAACATGATGGTAGCAGGAAGGGGAAAGGAAAGGGTCAGAGAGAGATAAAAAAGTCTTTACAGCATACAACTACGGGGGAAAAAGAAACAGTCAACAGGCAGGTTAAAACACGTTTGCCAGCATGTAGTAGTTACCACACCATATACTTGTCAGGTTTCCCAGCCTGCAAAACAAAAAGGAGCCTCCCCTCTACGAAGGAATTGTCTACTGACTTTTGTGAGGAAGAAATGGCTTTTTGGGAATGGGGGGGAGCAATTTAAATTCCTAAACTCTCCCTTTGAATTTCAAAATCTTTCAAAGGTTCATCTCAATTTTAAAGTTTTTCATGCTAAATTGGGTAAAGCTGCAGATTTCTGATATGCCACAAAATCACTTTTCCATTTTATCAAGTACATATCTGCTATATATTAAAATGTTTTATATGCTAAATATATAAAGTTTGCAAAAATAATGTGGTAGGCATTCAACAAGTTTACTTATCAGGATTCCTAAAGCAAAAGTTTGAAAAAAATATGTGAAGATAAACGTCCTCGTAAGGAGCTCTGATAGCGTAGTGGTTACGAATCAGGCTGCGATTCGAATCAGCAGTTCAAAACTACCAGCTGTTCCGAGGAAAAAAGATGAGGCTTTCTGCTCCCGTAAGGACCTACAGCCTCAGAAACCCTGAACAGGGTTGCTGAGTCGGAACCACTCCACCGCACATAACCAACCAATGCTACTGAAGATATGTTACTAATATGGAAACTGAGAAATATTTTAAATATTCTGAAAATAGTATCTCCCTCTAAAAATAAAGAGGAAACAACATTTGCCAGCACAGAAACTACTGGTGTTTAAAAATGATAATCACAACGGAGGCATTTCTAAAAATACTTTAGTTCTGAGTTGCAATAACTCTCCCTAGCCTTGCAAATACTTTTTGGTGTCATTATATTGATACAAAAGACTCTGTCACTTTGCTTCTAATGCAAACTGTCCGTTTACACAGTTAAAGATCTACAAACCAACTACCACACACGTTAAGTCACTTCCAATCATTAATATAAAAACAAGCATCTGTCACAGATAAGGTCTTAAGAATTTCCTAATAAATTTACAGTAACAATTATTTTACGTTCTGGTTCAAAGGTTCTGAAATCCACTTGGATTCATATCTTATAGTTAATTTGCAGAGGTTGTAAAGAGAAACCTCAGAAAACGACGGTTACAGCATTTTATTTTAAGTTAGTTATAAAGACGACAGTTGAACTTTTTTTTGGGGGGGTGGGGGTGGATTTAAACATTTCTCCAAGTTGCTAAAGAGTCTTTCATGTTTTATAATAACGATAGCCCTATCAACCCCTAGATTACATTATAGAGGAGCGGAAGTGAAAACGATGAGAAGGGAAACACCGCCTTGAAAACACACAGGCTGGCAGATCTATAAACCTTCAATTAAAGGAATTTTAAGATTAACTTTTCTCAATCACCCTCCCTTACTCCCCAACCGCTTCCTCCTCTCCTCGGAGGGGTCTGTGTAATGTGACTCATGACAATTTTTTTTTTAATAAGTAAAAGACACACCCTCTGGGTTGAACTGACATAATCTCCCCCACCCCGTCCTCCCCCGACACACACCCCGCTTTTCCTGTCCCTTCTACTGCTGCTCCCTGAGCCTCATCCCTGCGCTTCCCTCTCCCAGCCCGAGGCAGCAGGGCGGCAGCCGGGGTGCCGGGACGGAAGCGCGGCGAACCGAGAGCTACCGGGGGGCGGCGAGACCCGAGAGGCCGAACCCGCGGGGAGGCGGACGTCAGGGGGCCGCCCGGCTACGGCGGGCTCTGGGCTCCCTCGCCCATTTTCTCTCTCCCCTTCTATGGGTTTCAACCACCAGAGCCACTTCCTGTATCGCAGCCCGACTCCCTCAGCCCTGCCACTAGCTCTCTCCGCGGCCAGGGCTCGGTTGGGGTTAGGGTTGGGGTTGGGGCTGAGGTTGGCGCTGGGGCTCAGGCTGAGATTCGGCAGTTCCCCACCCCGCCCAGTGGGTTGGTCACTCAGGCGTCCTGCGGCGGGTCCTCAGGCCGACCAAGCACCAGCCCGCCCGTGCTCCTCACCTGTATGTAGTTGTTTTCACAGTAGTCCGCCACCCGGGTGAGGTTCTGGTAACTCTCTATCAGCGCCCTTTTGCCAGACGGGATCTCCTCCTCTAGTAACATCTGCAGCTCTGCCATTTTCCACCCCTCTGCATCGCTTCCTCTCGCGTTAAAGAGACAGCGGCAGCAAGGTCCGCGGAGGTTCCGAGCACCTCACAGCCCGGATACAAACCGCCTACCCGCCCTCCCGCCTGGTATTGTGGGACTGCACCTCCTCTTCCTTCTCACTTTCTCCACCCACCTCCACCCGCTTTGCGCAGCCGCCTGAATCTCGTCCTCTCGCGATCGTTCTTATCTCCCAGGCCACTGGATTCCCACCCTCCTTGCACTGTCTTCTGGGAATTGTAGTCTTTAGCAGGTTAGGAGCGCTATCCTCGGAAAAAGAACCCGGGAGGAACGTAGTTAGAGAACTTTAACCTAGGGTGGTGATTTTAGGTTTGGAGTTTCCTGACAGCCCAGTAGATGGCACAACAGGATGATTCTAGGTAATACCACAACATTAAAGTTTCGACTCTTTCAGACTCACAACGACCCTGTGAAGGGTTACTGAGGTTGTAAATCTTCTGGAGCGGAAAGCCTCATCTTTGTGCTGCAGAATGGTTGGTGGGTTTGAACTGCCGACCATATATGTGGTTAGCGGTCACGTACTCATCCTACAATGCCGTCAAGGTTCCTTATATAAGTTTTCCAATTCTGTAAATCTTTATGGAAACAGACAGCTTGCTTCATCCTTCTCCTGCAGTGTAGCTAGTGGATTTGAACCTCAAACATTTCAGTTAGCAGCCCAATGCCTAACCCACAGAGCCACCATAACTCCCCTTAAGCTCTCCCCTCCCCCAAAGCTTGTAAAACTGCACAACTTTAACTAGGAAGTGCCAGTAAATCAGAGCCATCGATTCTGATTAGTATTAAAAAGGGATATAATAATGGAAAACTCCAAACAAAGGTAGTCCCTGACTTTGGATGTATTTGAATAGCAGTGAATTGTACTACATCTATGACTGTTTGGGTTTTGTTTTTGAGGGTGTGTGTGTGTGTACTTCTTATTAGTTGTCATTGTTGTTAAGTACCGTGGAGTCGGTTCCGACTCGTAGTGACCCTGCACAGGGTTTCTGAGCCTGTAAATCTTTACGGGAGCAGAAAGCCTCATCTTTCTCCCGCGGAACCACTGGTAGTTTCGAACTGCCGACCTTGAGGTTAGCAGCCCGATTCATAACCACTACGCTACCAGAGGAGTCCTGATATGGCGCTGTGGGTTAATGCGCCAGACTGCAAAGCCATTTGAACTGCAAGGTCGGCGGTTCAAGCCCACCAGATGCTCCTTGGAAACTCTATACAGGGTCGCTATGGGTCGGAACCGACTCAATGGCATTTCACAACAACAAACGCTACCAGAGCTAATTAGTTGTCATTAGATAGCCTCAAGTCCTTGCTAACTCATAGTGATCCTATGTTTCCTATAGTTGAGCCCATCGTCTCAACCACTGTCAGTCCATTTCATTGAGGGTCTTCCTCTTTTTCCTTGATACTCTACCAAGCACGAGGTCCTACTCTAGTGACATATGCTGATAATATGCTCAAAGTATGTAAGAGGAAATCTCCCTATCCTTGCTTCTGCCTCTACTTCTTCCAAGATACATTTGCTTGTTCTTTAGGGCAGCCCATAGTATATAGTCAGTAGTCTCCACCAACACCATAATTCAAAGACATCAGTTCTTCTCCGGTCTTCCTTATTGATTGTCCAGTTTTTACAGGCATATGAGACGGCTGAAAATACTTCATGGCTTGGGTCAGGTGTATGTTAGTCCTCAAAGTAATATCTTTACTATTAAAACATTTTTAAGAGGTTAAACACAGTGGCTGCAACAATGGGTTCAAACAAAGCAACAACTGTGAGGACGTTGCAGAACCAGACAATGTTTCGTTCTGTTATATGAGTACATAGGGTCACAGAACGCATAGGGTCACTATGAATCAGAGCCAACTGGACGGCACCTAACAACAGTATACAATCGCTGATTTTGTTATCTTGCACACAAAAGAGTGAGAGTACATTACTAGATATCCTCAGCTTTCTGCAAAATTAGTTCAAATATTTCATCCTAGCACTCTAAATTGGAATTGGGTGACCAACAGACCAGAACTTGGGTTGTTGTTGTTAAGTGCCATTGACTCGGTTCCAACCCATAGCAACCCCATATAGGGTTTCCAAGGAGCTCCTGGTGAGCTTAAACTGCCAACTTTGAGGTTCAAACTGACCTTGCAATCCAGCGCAATAACCCACAGCACCACACCAGGACTTCAGAATTTGGGTTGTTGTTGTTAAGTGCCGTCGAGTCGGTTCCGACCCATAGCGACCCTGTACAGGGTTTCCGAGGGTATAAATCTTTACGGGAGTAGAAAGCCTCATCTTTCTCCCGCGGAGTGGCTGGTAGTTTCGAACTGCTGACCTTAAGGTTCTCAGCCCAATTCGTAACCACTACGCTACCAGAGCTCCTTTCAGAATTTGGGTAGGAGTGTAATAAAGTGGAAAAGACCCATGCATCAGAATACTAGGGTTCTTGCTCTCCCTAGCCACTACACAATTAATCAGGTTCTCTTCTACAAAAAAAAAAAAAGGAGGGGGTTAGAAGGGTTAACTGACCTTCTAGTATTCTACATACACACCAAAAAAAAAGATGCCATGAATTTATTCCAACCATATGATTTTCAATGGTAGGATCAGCGCTGGACTGTGAAACCAAAGGTTGGCAGTTCAAACCCATCAGTTGTTCCTCAGAAACCCTATACAGAACCACTATGAGTCAAAACTGATTCTATGGCATTTAACAACAAAAGCATGATTTTGTGTAAGTAAATTTCTCTTTTCCAAGTTGTATTTGGGTGCAATCTTTTTTTTTTTACTGTGAATTGACTGAAAGTTTACAGGGCAGAGCATCAGTTTACATTCAACAAATCATATACTTTGTTTCATTGTTGTTTGTTGTTGTTAAGTGCCGTCGAGTTGGTTCCGACCCATAGCGACCCTATATAGGGTTTCCAAGGAGCAGCTGGTGAACTTGAACTACCGACCTTGCAGTTCAAACGACTTTACAGTCTGGCGCATTAACCAACATCGCCACACCAGGACTCATTACAATGATTATAATCCCCTCCATGTGCCATCAGTTAACAGTATTTCTCTCTATTCATTTTAGCTCTGTTTTGTTTTGTTTTGTTTTTTCGTTTAACACTCAGGCATATATAATAATTGAAACCACCAAACAGCACATTCTGCAAGTCTGCCTCCTGGCTGCCAGGTCTCAGTCCCTCTAATTCCATGAATTTAAAGTCCTCAGCTGCTCCCTCTCTCCATGTCCCCATCTCTGCCTCCATCTCTGGTATGGCTGCTTCTCTGGATAGGGTCCCGCATTCCACTTGTACTTCTCCCTTAATGGTCCTAGGGTCCTCTGTTTCTGTAATGAAAGATTAACTACTCCCCCTGGGTGCAATCTTTTTGAACCTGCAGTCTTCCAGTTAGTAGCTGAATGCTTAACCGTTTGTACCACCAAGGGACTCCTCTAGAGCTCTATAGTCCTCAATGATTTTCTCTCCTTGCTTTCTTTTCAAATTAGCATTAGCATCTAGGAATCCCCAGAAAGGAAAGAGGATTAATGCAGCACTCTGTCCATGGGGTTTAACAAGTCCCATACAAAACAAGAGGACTTCTGAGGACAAAATGAATTGCATACCATGCTTCAATTTTTAATATAATTAATGGAGGAGGTTCTTTTAGTACAGATTATTTGTAATAGAAAAGACCTGGAGGCCACTTTACAGGCAGAGTTGAGATCTTTCTTAGACCCCTTATACCAAGCCACTGCAGAATCCCAGTGCTGCCTTAACGCAGAATGAGTCAGTATCATGAGATTATTAAAAATTTACAAGGGGCTAAAAACGTAAAGTACCTATTATGATGCAGGAAGGAAAATATAGCTTTCAAGTGAAATCTCATTTTTTCCCCTTCTTGTATATAAATTGCAATATCCGTAGCATAATTTAGATAAATTAATCTCTTGTTAATTTTGGAAGCTGCTGAATCAACACATCCTCCTCCACTTCACTTTTCTCAACTTCAGTAAGATGCTGCTGCAGACGTTTGTGATGATTACAGCAGTATTTGTAGCAACCGACCTACCCAGCAATAGCAAGTGCTGCCACTATGAACTGGGAGCTAAGGGTGGTCTTCCCTGAACTTTGTCCCTCAAATCATTCTAGCAGCTTTATAAATCCCTTACTGCTTGAGAAATTTCCCTTTTCCCAAATGAACCTTAATAAAATTGAACAAAACAAACATTTATCTAAAGAATAATGCTAACTCATATACAGTTTTTCTTTAGTGGCAAGTTATAGAAAGCAATTCAAGTGAGCCCAAGGAAAAAAAAATATTTTAATGACTATTTTATTTTGAAATTTCAGAGCTCACTCACAGAAACTAAAGACAGAAATGCAGTCAGTCTCAGAAAGTACTGGAACAAATTATTTGGAAGGCCAGTGGGAACCCAGACATGATTCTCATTTAGTGTCTTGTTTCTTTGCCAAAAGATTTTCTTTCCTATCCAGTTCAAATGGTAGAAAGCATGGTAATTTTAACACCCAAATTTTCCATCTCCTCCATTCAAGAAATCCAACCCGAAAATGAAATCCCTCTGTCCCAAGAGCAAATGCCTCAAAAAGAAAAATCTGATTATTCCATCTTGAATTGCTGTCTTCACCCCAATGCTGGGTTTGGCAATGGTGACATATTCAAACAACAATAACATAGCTGCTACAACCACATGAAGTTAGAGTGAGAGGTATCCAAAAGAGTAAATAATCTAAGAAAACAGTTGTATCAGGTCTTTATCACAATTGGGAAAAAATGTTTGCACTATCCATACATATCCAGAACCACTATATACAGCCATGTAGGTTACT